ACATGCATGCACGTTGTGCAAGGTAATTTTCTTATCTCTGTAAGCCAGGATGACCAAATTGGCTGGGGCTTAAACTACATGGGTCAATAGTCACAGTCAATGGTCTCAACTGTGAGAAAAGCAGGGGCGCAAACGATTTATGCAGTTCTATAACTTTTCCTTCTTTTATCTGTGTTTAAACAAGAGGGTCGAAGGTTGAACACATGCAGCAAAATCCTTCAACAGCACTGCAATCACACAACTGTATTCTGCTTACTTGCTCATGCATACCCTTTTTCCTCTGCACTCCCTCTCCATTTCTAGCTCAAAGCTGTGGACACAACAGCCTTATCTAATGCTGCCTTGCTGTCAGTGAGAGTGGTCTATTTCAGGCTTTATCTTGAGCAAGAGCCGGCATGAGCCTTGGGTCTGAAGACGAGCTGGTGCTCCACGAGATAAGGCAGACAGGGACACTGTAACCTGCATGTCTGCGGTCAGGGTGGGAATGGATGGTACCCGCGCTCCAATCTAACGGCTTCCTTCTCTCAGTCAATGAATTGGCTTGGGATCACTCAGCTGTAGAAGCAGACTTACAATTTCTCTGTAAAGCAGCAGATTGCTGAAAAGGTGAAGCTTTTCTTGTATCTGTAGGTACCGTCTGCAACAACACTTATAATACTTAATACTTTAAAAAAAAACCTGCACAGATATCAATACTGGCTTTGCTACAAAGGACAGCAACTTTCAAAATTTTGTTAATTAATGCTCACTGATTTGGAAACTTTCCAGAACTGATCCATATTGGAGCAAGTGTATATCAAAATCCCTGCTGTACAAATTTAAGAATACTCTTAGATATTTTTAAATTTCAATGCATAAAATCAACATCTGTAATAAAAATTCCAATTACTTCTGAGTGGCATCAAAGCCCCCCAACTTCCTTGAGTTGGCAAACAAAACTTGACTGATGTTGTCCCTCGTTTTTCTTCTTTTTCTGATTTTTGGTGGGGGCTTGAATCTAATAAATGTAACACAGAAGAAGCCATTCCTCAGCTCTTTTAAGGAGCTACTGGGATCTGACCACTTGTGAGGTTGGTCTCACATGACTTCAAGCCTACAATTCTACTGGTGCAGAATCCTTTCATATCAATGGTAACAGCGTAACCAGAAGTAAATATATTGGACCCTTAAAAATGTATTAAACAATTATTTAAATAAAAAAATAAATTTTTATTCTGTACTATTTTAGACACTCTTTTGATGTAGTATCTTAGAAAAAATAAACATTTTGAGGAAAAAGCCCTAGCTATGCCATTTTTTTCTTTTTTTTCTTTTTATATATTTATTTATTTTAATTTATAGCTATGACATTTAAGGACATCCCCGAAACCTGTTTAACTTGTGGTTTTCTTTTGACCGCATATAAAAAAAAAGTCCCTGTCTTTACATATAAGTAGACCTAAAAAAGTAATAATAAAAACTAAACCTAAAAAACATAAAAAAACAAATAAACCTCAAGAAAATATGTGAAAACTTTACATAAATCTGTTTGGATTGTAATGCACATATTGACAGATTCGAAAAATCCAGAAAGTTCCAGTTTAGAAAAATATATGGTGTATAGAGAAAAAAAAAAACTCTTCCACACCCATTGCGGATGGTCTTCCCCACTTTTTCCTCCAAGCCCGGGTCTTCTACCAGAGGCCTGGGAGCTTGAGAGTTCTACACAGTATCTTTGCTGTTCCTAGAATTGCACTCTTCTGGACTGAGATGTCTGATGTATTTCCAGGGATCTGCTGTAACCACTCCTCCAGTTTGGAGGTCACTGCCCCAAGGGCCCCAATGACCACGGGGCAATCTATGCATGAGTTCAAATAGAAAAGCATGTTTGACTCTATTATTATTATTATCTATTATCTCTATGCTGATGACCTATCAATGATACACTTCATAGTCTACAAAGGTCTGTACACAGTAGTTTGCCACAAGCCATGAATCAGACAAAGCAATCAGTAATACAAGTGCTCTAGTTTAATGGGTCAATAATGTTGGCTTCTATGTAAAAATCATTTCATTTCAAAGCAATAAGAGGACCCCATAAACATCCAAACCTATATGAAAGAATGAGAAATAAAATGTTTAGATCTGTGAATTCTATTAAAATAAGCTTAAGCTATTAAGCAGATAACAGTGAGTTCAATCCAAAAAAGAAGCTCTTAATGATTGTGCCAGTGACCAACGTCTTCAGCCTTCATTTGGATTCCAAAATAGTAAAGTCCCAATGTTCCTATACGCTTCATCAGCCACAGGCTGTTTGACATTGAACTGTCTGTTTTAATGAAATCCTGTCACCACTGAAAATGGAATACTATACTTTCCCTCAAATTTTACATATTTATCTAAATGCAGCGTTCTTTCTTTTCTTTTATCCTGTCCTGTGACTAAACTGTCACCAACTTAATTCAGCTCTGCTTCACACCATTTTTCAGAAAGCCTGGGCTTCCACTACGCACAATGATACAACATTCTCTTTTGTTCATGCTCTATGATTAAAATCACAATACCTCAGAGAATGTTTTTGCACTGACATGGCAGTGTTATTCTGGTCCAGATGACTCAATTATGCATACGCTTTATTTTCAGTGTTTGCACTTTGGGTGCAAGTAAGGACAGACTGCCACAATCAAGAGTACACATTGAAGTGACAGTACTAGGGCCTTATTAAATCATCCCCGTTTTGCAAAAGATGCATCAAACAGAATTCAACTTTAAAAATAAAATCTGCAACATTTAGTCATCATGTCATGTTACATTAACTAACATGACATTATAAATTCCATTATAAAGTCATTTATAGAAAGATTACTTTATATACCAATTTCAGCTATTCTTAAATGTTATGTTCCCTTTTATTTAAAAATAATACTTTTTTACAAGGTTTTTACAAAACCTTATCAATGTTACAATTAAAAACAGCTCTAATATAAATAGAGGCATGTGAATTTGCTGTAGGTTAGTCATTGTTTGCAATTTTTCTCAAGATACAGTAAACATATATCAGTGTTTTATTTTCTCTGTATATTATCAACACATTGTTTTACCAACAATATTTACATCACACCAAGAAAGGAAAGTATATTGTGCAATCGTGTATTCTGTTGACATCAGATTACCAAGGACATGAGACTAAATTTAAGCTGCCATAGGCCACGCTTATGCATATTTATAATTAGAAGCTTTCCAGTTGAGCTTTAGTAATGTCATATAAAGCACCTCACCACACCACCGGCCTTATTAAATTACATGTCAATGACAAATGTGCCTTTCCAATTGTGACCTCTCCGTTTGCTATGAAAATGGCATACTGATGTGCAGCTCTAATAATACATGGTGTTAGAAGATAAAAAATAAATGCTATAAATGGGTTCCAGTTGTTGCTAAGCAACACCAGGAACCAAGACTTGCCCTTTGTTTTTCTAAAGCCGTTAGCTGAAAAGCAAGGGTCTTGGGAACAACAAAGTCTTAGCTAATTAGTAGTCATTTAGAAGGTAACCCATTAACCAATTCATTGTCTTACTTGAGATTGGGTCGGCCTTCACGGGTTCAGGAGGGCAACCAACTGTTTCCCTTTACCAGTGACACTCTACACCTCAATCAATGGATTTCAAAGGATTCAAGACATACATACTTCCTTCATCAATCAAAAAAATAATAATACAAACAAAAATAAGAGCAGGAAACTTGATCAGACAACTGAACTATCTCTATTGACTCTTTTTCTGCAGGAACCAGCTGCTCTATTTAGATCTCCTTCCTGATCACTTCTCACTCTTTCGCTAGGACTGATCCCAGCCATCTACAGAGAAGGCTTGTATTTACTGGTTGTTTCTGGGATTCCTTGTTTCAGACTAGAATCCATTTCTTATTGCCAAAGATAAGAAAAACTAGTAAATTAAATATTAAATCTGGTAGGGGAGCAAAAGTGTACACTTATTAAACACTTTTTCTCTCCTCAGACAATCATTTTAATTTCAGTAGGTATGCTCTCCTAGCCTCTAGTGAGGAACTAAAAGAAAATAAAAACATTAGTTAAAATCCCTGGTCACCCTCTACTGCCTTCATCATCAGTTCCACCCTGCTTCGGAAACCCGGAGACTCAAACATCCCCATGGAGAAGAAACTCCAGCAAATTCTATGCTGGAATCCACTAACCGTCATCTCAGCTTCTCCTCTAAGGATGCCATGCATCCCTCCTGGCCACAATTCTTCCTCAAATCTAGTAAGCAAGATTGCTATTAACCTTTTCCTACTCAATCTTCATAAAATAAGCTCTTAGGAAAGAACACTTAGGAAAGCTCTTTTAGACCAACTACTTCAGCTCCAATATCACTAGGAGGACATAGCTGCTGAAATTGAACACAGCCTTGATGTCTCCCAATGGCATGAACTATTGCCAATGCTAGCTTCCATGATAAAGCAAGCACAACTTCCCTGGTTACAACACATTCATTAACACCTTGGTCCATCCCTAATTTTAAGTCTAAGGTTGCTTGTTAACTGTACTTTCTGTTTACTATAGCCAAGGGTACCGTCAGTTTATTAAGACATTATGCGTTGCATGAACTCATGAATTTGCTCCAGTGGATGAAAACATCAAATTCACATTTTTTTTCTTTTCAACCTTTTAAAAGTTGGCTGAAAATTCATATTATATTTGGAAACACAGCATAAGATAGTATCTAAAGAATGAATGGGAAACACTTTGTGTAAGCTGCTAAGACAAATGCTTTGGAGCTTAACACTCCCTTTAAGTTCAACACTGTTATTTAGAAGTTAGAGAAGTAGATTTTGATTTGCCCTGAGGAATTGACAGTCTCATTATGCAGACTTCTTTAAATTGCTGATATAACTTAAAAAATCAAAGTTTAATATAATTTGTGTGAAAGCATTTCACGTACTCAAATGAAAGGCAGCATACTGACAGATTCAGAGTTGTGTCATATCCTGAGGTAACTTCCTCACCCTGATGCAGAATCACAAGCAGGTGGTAGACATTTTGACCATAGACATGGGAATGGACCATGTTCAGAGCTCAGGAGGTCCAGCAGCTTCTGCAGAGGAGATGGCTATTATTACATGTCTTAGTGAGGCAAGATATGAATAGAGAAATCTTAATTTGAGACTTACTGTTTTGGATCAAAAAGAGCAGCTGTAGGAGGTGATGAGATCTTGGTGGTGAGTCTCTCGTTATACAGTGGAGTGGGAGGCCAGGCTGGTATTGTAGAGTCACAGAGCTGGAGAGCGGGTAGGCAGATTGTGACCTAATGAGCTGCAGTGGAGACTGTGGACAAGGTGTTTTCAGAGGCATACCGTTAAGCTTGAAATAGCAGTGGTAATCCAGGCATCTAGGAACTTCTTCAACCTGGAGAACAGGAGGATAAACTAAAAACTTGTACCAATAATCCTTAAGGTTTTTTAGGAGAAAAATAAGAAGGAGAGCTACTTGAAATTTGGAGGGCTTGACTTTACCAACAAACATGAATATCAGGCAATGATTGATCCTCCAACAGCTCCTTAAGAAGGCTGCAGCAGATAGGTGATTGCTCTCAAGTCTGCTGCCTCCAGCTGATCCAGCAGAGATCCTCAGAAGGAAAGAGAGCACTTGTCACACTAAACCAACATTCTTACTCCAGTGTGCTCTATCCCTGTGACACCACCACAGCCCATGCTCCATGCAATACAAAAAGGGCTATTTGTTAGATTAGCTTCAAGAAATTCAAAATATGTAGCCTGACAAAAACTTTACCTGGACTTCCTACAACATGTTATAAGTTTTAACATGTTAATGTTGTATTTATAATCATACCAGACTTTTAATCTAAGAAATGTAATATTTAGTTTTCAGCTCTCATATTACTAAAACCTATATTATCCATGATCTCAATTTGTGCAATTATATCAAATAAACAGGTGATACCTTGTTTTAAATACGTTTTTAATTGACTATTTGTGTTGCATATTGAAAATAAATTATTTAAAAAGCGAAAAGAAATATAACTATATAATCATAACTGCAACATTTCTACTACGACAAGCAAATCTTTATTTCAAATACAGCCCCACATTAGTATGCATGTATTATCTTCTGTGTCAGGGAACAATGAGATCAGAGGCCTGGATGAGTAGGTAATCATATCAGTGACACACCACAGCCCTCAGCTGCTATGCAAGCTGCTGATGGAGCTGATTGTATTAACACTATATTCCCTCTAGTATTTTATGTTATATTTTCTGATTAATCTCCCAAATATAGATGACATTGCTTTCACATGGCATTTGCTTTAACCCCCCCCCCCCCAAAAAAAAAGAAAAATCCTGCAATGTTCCCTCACACATATGTTGCTATAAAACAAATCACGTGTTTTTGAAGTTTTGAAGCAGGGTCAATTCAATAAAAAAATACTTTATTATCCATCCATTTTCTGTCACGCTTATCCTGGCTGGGGTTTCGAGGGGTGCTGTTGCATATCTCTCGCTGTCAATAGGCGAGAGGCGGGGTACAACCTGAACAGGTCGCCAGTCTATCACAGGGCAACACAGAGACAAACAGGACAAACAACCATTCATGCACACACTCACAACTAAGGAGCCATTTAACCTAACAGTCATGTTTTTGGACTGTGGGAGGAAGCACTTGGAGAGAATCCGTGCATGCATAGGGAGAATATGCAAACTCCATGCAGAAAAACCCAGATCTGGAATCGAACCCGGAACCTTCTGTCAGGGTTTGGTTGAGGTTTGAGGACCCAAATGCAGAGGCAGAAAGGCTGAGGAGACTTCTTGCAGTTTAATGGTGAGAAACAGCAACAAAAGGCAGGAATCCAAAAAATCCAACTAGTAAAGTAAATCAAACCAGAACTATGGAGACATCTGGGGAAACCGAACACGAGGAGCCAGGGAGAGACAAGGTAGGTAGACAACTGCATGAGAAGACAACAAAAACAACGAACCAACAAACACTGACAGCAGAGGGAGAGTATAAATAGCTGACTGAGACAAAGGCAGGGTTAACGAGCGAATAAGGAGCAGGTGTGAGAGGAGACAACGAGGAAGCCAAGGGGAAAGGAGCACACAAGAGGGCAACAGAGGACAACAACAGAAAAACCTGAGAACTAACATAAATCTAGAAACTACAACAAAATAAGAATTAAAACAATAAAATTAGAAAACAAGGAGCAAAGTAAAGTACAACAGAACAAAGACCATGACACCTTCTTGCTGCAAAGCAGCAGTCCTACCCACTGCTACACTGTGTGGCCCAATACATTATTAACTATTATTAATTATCTTTTTAATTTTTTAAGGAATTCTTCTTTGTAAAATAATCTCCAAAGGTTTTTGTTCCTAAAACACAGCCGTTCTTCTTTATCAGCTTGTTGAGCTTTCTGGAGCCATTAATTCTGATGTTGTTACTTCAGCAGGAGAGATGACACTCTCCACAACAGACTTATAGAAGATATGCAGCATCTTGCTGTGAAAGCTGAAGGACCTCAGCTGCATGAGGAAGTACAGTCTGCTTAGTTGACATTCGCGTTCAGATAAATATTTTCACACGTTTACAAAGCGGTTCACTAGCTCTCTGTACTCAGATTCTTGTTCATATGATTGCAGAGTCATCCGAGTATTACTGCAGAAGACAGGATTCTGTCTTGTACAGGAAGTCAGTCATACTGTAGTAAAAACAAATGGTGAGAGTACTGTCCCCTGTTGTGCTCCTTTGCTGCTGACTACTTGATTAGACAGCTGACCTTTCACTCTAACAATCTTTGGTCTGTTTGTCAGGTAGTCTTATCCACCTGAGTAATGCCTCCACCTGAGTCTTCTAAAGTTTCTCCCAAAGAAATAGGAAAGAAATCATTTTAAATGCACTGGTGAAATCAAATGACATGATCCTTGTACTGTCTGCTTTGTCTAAATCACAGTAGATTTGTTAAAGCAGGTGTATGATGGCATTTTCAACTCCAACACCATGTCGATAAGCAGACTGCAGAGCCTCCTGAGAGCAGCTTGTTTGTTTGCTGAGGTAAATCAACACAAGTTTATCTAGGACGTTCATGATGTGGGATGTGAGGGCAAAAGGTCCATAGTCACTGAGGATTTTTCGCTGAATTTCTTCACTAAGAAAATAAAACTTCTTTGCTAAGATGTATCTGCCCAAAAGTTTCTGAGCTTTTTAATCAATGAAAAAAAGTGATGTGGATATAATAATCTAAAAAGACATTTTACATTCTAAATAAAGTGCAAAGAACCACACATGGTTCTTGCATTGCTAATGGCCTGTTGGTGCAGTGCCTTTCAAGAGTGTTTATGTACTTATTTTTCACTCCAAATTTTCTGTAAGTTGATCTTGCAACCCTGGATAACTAAGAACTAGTGGAATGTTGAGGATATGTAAAAATCTTGGTGATGAACTCCAGTCTTGGTATGCAAAGCCCTAGAATCAATTGAAACAATGCTTATTTTGGTTTGTGCAAGTATGAAGATACAGCAGTTATGATTTTTGTTTAAAAAACTCTGACTCGTCTAATTCTTTTTGGGCTTAAGCTAGCTTGTCAGTTTAAACTAGTATCACCTTGCCAGTCATCTGTTCTTGGCTGTCCCTTTGGTGCTACCCCCTCAAATGGGATTTAGACCATCTGCAGACTGCCAGCACTGAAGAGAGCCAATGTTAATTGAAATTAATTGCAGCGAGTGATCAGAATATCTGATCTAATTTAGTCATGAATAGCTCTTGACCCTGAAGCTGTGGGGCTGTGGTGGTGTTTTCCACCCACGAGATACAGGACGGCTCAGTCAGCAACTAAAAAACTCAATTTCTGAGGAATAGATTTAGTGGTAGCTTAAAATAAAGCAACAATTTAAACTGTTAAGGTTGCTCTTGCAGACACAGAAAGCAAAAACATATCTTTGTATTATGTTCTCACCAATATTAAATTATTCTTAAATGGTGAGGCATAGCAAGGACAGGCAAGTATTAATGTAGTGGAAGAGTATTTTTTTTTTGAGACAATCAGAATAGCAAGTATCAGATTTAATCATTAGAAATATTCCAGTCTAGAAATTACTGGGATTAAATTCTTAATGCACTACTTTATTAGCCAATTGTGAGTCAGTTGCAGCTATCAGCCTCCTAAACTCTATTTTTCTATCGAAACAAAAAGAAAAATTGAAACAAAATGTAAGAAAAACATTTTTTTTAAAGAAACTTATTACATGGTTTAGAATTTATGAAAAATCTTTAAATTCCCCATAATACCTATTACTTAAATTTTCAAGGGGTTTGTGTTAAATAGGTTAAAATGACCACAAATAGGTAAGTTTAATAAATACAATGAAACTCTGTTAAATGCCAGGAAATAATTAAATGATTTTTGCAAAACTGCATTTTTAAAATATGAATAAAATTGAAAAAAAAAATTGATTAAGAAAAGAAAATGTTTGTACTTTTTTGTAAAAATATATATCAATCAGAGCAGTTAATAAGTCCATTTAACTATTTGGACATAAGTCTGATCAGATAGCAATAGGTCAGATAAAGAGTAAGCTAAGTTTATAAGCATCTTATTCATGACAGCCAGTTCAAATACAGTATTCTTTCATAATATCTATGATGTTGTTTGTAAATATATGACTTACATGTGTCTGAAAACAAAAAATAAAAGTAAATATGAAGTCACTCCTTTATAATGCTGTCACATTTTGAACATTGTGTGTTTATACAGAAAAAAAATTATTAAAATTAAACACTTTTCTATGAACCATCAACTTACTAAGAAAAGGAATAGGTTGAAATCAAGAATTTGTATCATAAATATTAGATTTTTAAGGTGTATACTTATGTCCCTTTTAGCATGTCCAAAAACTCAGCAGCAGACCTTTTTTTCGCAGATTTATTTGAGCAAGCTATATAACCATAAAATAACAAAGTCCATGAGAGGGAAAAGTAATAAGTGTTATGCAACAAATAATGGGATGTTAATGATATTGAAGGCAAATCATTAAGAGCTGACTTTTAAACACAGCAATGAAAAATGTAATGAACGTAACCTTTCTATAGGTGTATAAATTTCAAAAATAACAACAATGTAATCAGTCTGTTGGAAAGTTATTACATCCATGTCCCAGATACAATTTCTCAAGAGGTAAATTGAATCCTTGGTAAAACATAGAAAGCAGAAAATTACTTTTTTTTTTTTTCACTGCAATGACCGTAGAAGGAAACATTTTTCAGGTGATCTGCTTGGCCACCTTGCTTCAATGTGTTGTGCAGAAGTTTTTGTTCATGTCCAACGAAAAGTGAAAATAAGTAATTCTTTAAAATAGAAATATGTCAAGAATCTTCTCTAGATATAAAAAAAAACAAAAACAAAACATAATGTCAAGTTTAGGTGATTTTAGTTGAGGACCCAAAAGCAGAGAGGAAGAGTAGAGATAATTTCTTGCAGATTTCATTTGGAGGTAGACGCGCTGGCGAAGATTCTCAGTCATACAGGTCATAGTCATTCCAAAAAAAAGTTGAAAACATACCACTGGACTTTGTTTTACAAGTTTTCTAAGCCAAAACAAGGCTTTTGGTAGGCTATAAAGCCTGGAACTCAACGCTACTTCGGTCCTTTTGAAGGGTGGGATGACCAGAAAAATTTCATCAAACTTAAAAAACAACATACATGAGGAGTAAAGTGGATCCAGCGCTGAGGAACCGCAGAGGAGGAGTATATATGTGAAACAACAATGAATGGAGTGATTAGCTAATTGGGAGCAGCTGTGGATAAAAGCAGCTGAGAGGAAAGAAAACCAATTTCCATTAAATAAAGA